GCCTGACTAGTTTGATGAGAATAATGCGACGATTGGCGCATTGGTGTCGGACAAGAATGCAGCATTTGTTGCACATGTGGCAGACCCCCGTAACTTAGGGAAGAAGAGAAAGTTTGGGCGAATATGACGACGACTGACCGAGAGCTCAGTTGCATTAAGAATGCATGATGGACGGAGAAGGCGAAACAGATGGAATGCTACGCTGGACGCTGCCAACACAAGGAATTCTTCGTCTCCTTGAAGGCGGTGCATGCACCGAGGTTGGAGCCAGTGAGGACGCTAATCGATGGTAGCTCAGGCACTACCTGCACACAGACTGCAGACATAATGCAGATTTGGCAGAAACACTTTGACTGTCTCTTGAACAACCGTTCAGAGATCGACTGGCCTACTCTGTAAGGCCTGAAGCAGCACGATGCGAAGACGAGTCTGGCGGGAATGCCGACGCTGGATGAGACGCAGAGAGTACCTGCTCAGCTGCGAAATGGCGAGTGTGCGGTGCCGACGGGATCCCGCCTGAAGTATTGAAACACGACGGACCAGCGTTGCTGACTGCGCTGCATCACTTGGTGCAACACGTGTGGATTGAGGAGGAGGAGGAGCCGCTTGAGCTGAAGGATGCCCTTGTGCTACCACTGTACAAGGACAAAGGTAGCAAGCAATGTTGCACGAATTATCGTGGCATCAACTTGCTGAGTTGTGTGGGCAAGGTGATTGCCCGAATCCTGCTCAACCGCCTCGTTAGTCAGATTGGGGAACCGAACGTGGCGGAAGAGCAAGGTGGATTCCGTTCGGGTCGCAGCACCATCGTTATGGTGTTTACGGTTCGTCAGTTGCAGGAGAAGTGTAGATAAGGACACCAGCCGTTGTACTCGCTTTTTGTTGATTTCATCAAGGCATTTGATACGGTGTACCGCGAGGCATTATGGCTGGTGTTGGGTAAGTTTGGTTACCCATGTAAGTTTGTAAGTTTAATTAAATGTCTGCACAGTGGTATGCGAGCGAGCGTGCAGAGACCTCGGATGACTTTGCAAGGCTGTGTCTTAGCCTCGTGCTCTGTTTAATATTTATCTTGATGCAGTGATGCCTTGTGCTCACGCTGTTCGTGTGGAGCAACGTATTGGTGGTGGGTTGCTGAACATCCGTCGTTTCGGTGCGAGAATTCTAGTCTGTGAGACAACTATACGTATGTTACTGTTTGCTGACCATTGTGCGTTGTTTGCACACAGCGCGAATGACTTGCAGCACATGACTAGTGCTTTGGCTTCAACAGCGGCCAAATTTGGGCTCACCATCAACACAAGCAAAACTGTCTGTCTCTTTCAGCCTTCACCGGAAGTGCAATCTTCAACGGTGTCGCGAATCAACATCGGTGCTGAAGTATTAGAAACCATCTTCCGCTTCTGCTACCTTCGGGGTGTGATATCAACTAAGCAGCAGCTAAACAATGAGCTTCGTATCCGCATCTCGAAGGCAGCGGCGGCATTCGGGAAGCTTGAGTACCGAGTGTGGAACAACCATCAGCTTACCGTTGGCACAAAGCTGATGGTGTACAAACCCATGGTGCTGTCCGTTCTTCTATACGGCAGCGAAGCATGGACGATGTACCGGCGGAATGTGCGACATCTCGAGCGGTTTCATCAACAGTCTTTGCGACGGATTCTGCGCATCGGTTGGGGTGACAGAGTTGCAGACACGGAAGTGTTGCGCCGAAGTGAAATGTATGCAGTGGACTGTATACTTTTGCTGAGACACCTGAGGTGGCTCGGTCATGTATGGATTCGACGCGGATACCGAAGCAGCTATTATATGATCAGCTGAGTGCTAGGAAGCGGTATGCGGGGAAACGGAAGTTGCGTTACCAGGACATGATCAAAGTGAGCCTCTCACGTTCTAATCTTGATTGCAGGTCATGGGAATCGAAGGCGGTTGATCGGCGTGCATGGTGCGACCTGATCACGAAGGCAGTTGTCGAGGTGCAGGAGAAAGACCTGATGCATGCGGAGAAAAAGCGGCAAGTGCGGAAGCGGAAGGCACAGATGGGTTGTATTCCATCGACATCGAGCGCATGATGCTGTAGCACATACGGTTGCGAGTGCCTGAGTCAGGCAGGCCTAGTGAGCCCCGAGCAAGGTCACTCAGAAGCAGCAACGAAACGACGACAGGTCCTGCTTGGAACGTAAGAAGAACCGGTACAGCGTTGGTATGTACGCTGCATACGCTTCCATTCGATTTACTAATCGCGTGCTTACATGCCGAGTTTCATTATTTCAGGTTATTAGTTTGCTATATTGTCTTCATACCATTTTGTAACTGCATTTTAATGTCAACCTGAATAATCTTCTATTTGTTTGCAAACATCGCTTAAACGAAAGGTGGTTAACTTCGTTAGTTTTTCGCGTTTGCTGCATTATTTGGATCCCTTTCTGATATCTTGAATTTATCACGGATACTGATTTCTCCAAAATCTGCAGTAAAAGAGTAGGACGAATAATTAGAAACGCACTGGAACTTGGCACTGCTGTGTCGTTGTTGCCAAGCAAACAACCTCCGATTGTAAGCGGACTGGGACACTGCGAATTCGTTCGTACATGCGCAGACTCGAGGCAGTCACCTGTGGATTACAAGCCTAAGCCTAGACAACTTTGTCGTAAGCCAGGTGAGAAAAAGTGGAGCTCAAAAGCCACATAGGATAACAATGATGATATTTCCGCGATGGAGATAGAGTAAATATAGTCCTTTTTCCAGCATGTGCTTGAAATGTAGAATGCTTCATTCGGAAGTAGCAGGTCTAGGCGCTAGTCCATAAAACCTCCGCAACAATGTGATTCGGTCTGCGCACCAAGAACTTCCGAGGGGAACAGCAACTTATCGTCTGCTTGGACACGAGCATTTTGACGGCCGTATGTCGAAGCAAGGTGTCGAATAGGTGGAGCAACTTTTGATATTCTGCCCGTCACAAAGGACAATAGATGACTTGTCTGTTTTCTTGGGTAAGATAAAAATGATTCTAAACGGAAGGCTATTTTACATCAAAATTTTGGTCTAGCTTAGATCGCCTAAAACGTTCTTGATTCTATCATAAAACTTGCTTCCAGGTCTCGATAAACCTCAATTGAAGTATTAACGCACTTGCTCAATCCACAAGACTGCCGACAATTAGAATGAGGGACTAAACTGAGAACTGAAACCAGCTGAAAAGCTTGATTACTCTTCAACCTAGAATTCTTCCACGTATACAATTCTACGCAAACTGATCGAGAGGCAGCAAGACACCAGTGAGTTACTGCTACCGCTGCCGCCTGTTAATTAGGGGAACTAGTATGTCTACCGGGGAAAGTAATGATATCGATTTTCTCGCGCTAATCAGAAAGACTGAGTGGTGGAACCTGTACTCTTGAGTTAGTGCGGGTGTTTTGTAACCACTCGGTTCTTTTGTTAGCTAATCCAAGTTGTACAGAGTGCAAACCACATGCAGAGTGGATAGCTGTCTGAATGTCGTGTAACGATGAAAATGTAGAGAAATGTCGAGTGGAGATGGTTGATAAAGATCTGTGAGGAAATTGAAAAAATCTGCAAACGAGATATACTTTGAGACAGAAAGAATGCAAGTAGGATGAGTTATCGAAAACACAAATGGTTTGGTGGTGAAAAACATTCAAAGAGGAGAGTCAAGGATGGACGACACAGAGGACATCATCAACATCTCGCAGTGAAGATAAGGTGAAAGCGATTTTGGATTGCCAGCAACTTAACTGGGACCCCGAAAATTCATGGTGCATTAAATCGTTACGAACGAATCGAAAATGAGGAAAGTTTGCACAAAATCAATTCCTGAAGCTTTGATCCAGTAAGGTAAAAACCGTGTGTTGGTGTTGGGTGAGCTCCTAGATCATATGAGGAATTAAGTTGATGTATTTTTAGTAAAAATGACAATCAGTGAAATGAAATGCGAGTCTTTGAGTGCGGTGTGAAGACGAGAATGTATAATTATGGAAGAAACATCCCTGAGTCTCCAAGAATAAAGATGGTGCCAATGAGCAGGGCACAAATGAAAGCACTTCAGAATTATTTTCTGTCACTAAGAATATTGTTCGGATAAAAGTTTAGCGCGGTGTTTCGAGTGAGAGTGCCTAAACGGTCAAAAAGTCGTATACTTCTGCTCAGAGATCAACAAACGCAGCAGTGTACCTGTTCATGGGTCCTTGAAAGAGAGTCTCTGGCGAATCAATTCGTGACGACAAGCGAATTACATAGAACAAATATTATTACTATCCACACACATACTGCATGTAAAAACAGCGCGAGTGGTCACAGAGCCTTCACGGACCCCTATCAAATCCTGAAAAAATAATACTATGCTAAATGCTACGCCAGTCGACAGATAGTTTGACGCCAGAAGTGTACCCACTTGGTGGGATAAACTTCAGTAGACATCCGGCTAAGAATTGAAGATATACAGTGGTAACATATATTACATATTCTATGCGGAGTCGGACTCCTACGAATTTCGATCAAGAAGTCACCCCATGGAATGCGTTTAAAACGTAACGGTACTTCGAAAAGACGGATCCATGTAGCCACATCCAAACAAACAATGGGCACCGATTGCGTTTTGTTTTCAATGCGCCACCATATTGATAGTAAAAAGACGCGGAGGCGTTTGACACTAGCTAACACGTAGAAAAGTGGTGATAATGGTGGATAAAGTGGAAACTAAGGACGACCTACTATCAATAGTAGCTGCGCGTAACAGGTGTGCACAACGGCTGTAGCCATAAACAGAAGTACGGCCCGGGACCGAGTTAAGGTCATACCTCTGTATAGCCTACCGGAAAATATTTGCCACTAAGCGAGAGGTAGATGCAATTTAAAAACGAGCAATAACGAACTGAGGATAAGGCAAACTTGTATGGAAAGCTTATTGCAAAAATAGCGAGAGAGTGAAGTAGGAAGCTGCGACGACCAAAATTAACGATACAGAGAAAAGATAGAGCTACCTTGAATTTTAAGACAGTTCCACAAGTGTTTGATTCGGCCAAAAATCCGTTGACTAAGCTTTCCTGATTGTTTGCATATTTGGATAGTTTATCCAATTTAGATTCATCCAAAGCATCCACTGCCGCCTGCAAAATTCCAGGTCGCAGCCCGTTCACACGGGAAGAGGTTAAAAATAAGGTGCTATCCTTTTTCGGACGTAAGTATTCATGACCGGCCTCAAGTTTGGTTTCAGAGCGAATGCCTATCATAAGAGACCCATTGGGAAGATGTAACTTGTCGTCAAGTTTGGTAGAGCGGTGAAATCCACTGGAAAGAGTACAATGGTGAGCAGGTGTACGGGAGTCACGTTGTTCTGTCGATTTAAGGGTTGAGTCAGTACGGGATTGTGAGGTAAAAAACTTGGCCGGTTCGGAGGGATCAGATGCCACAGTGGTGACATTACAATACGTCTTCTCACCATTATTGGAGCTCAACATGGAGGGATTAGTCGACGATTTAATGAATGAGTCAGAAATAATGGGCGGTGCACATGTTGTGGTTGCGGAATGGGTAGTACTGGAGGGAAGAGGTATAGTAGAACGGGAAGTTGGTGAACTGGAGGTCAGAGAGCAGCGGGATAGAGACGATTTTGCCGACCTGCGAAGAGCGGATGGGGGTGGGAGAGACGGTGGCGGCATTTGAAGACGATCGGTCAATTCAGAGAGACTAGGAGAAGGGGAATGAGAACCAGATGTCTTTGAACTAGAAGTTGTTATGTGGAGAGGACTTGGAGGACAGCTAGGAGGCAGGTTACCAGAAGCAGTGGAGCAAGAAGCACTCTGTGTCGGAATCGACGAGTTGGACGTCAAAGCTGATGACGGAGGGTCAAGGGAAGCCAGCAAATTGATAAGACCAGTGCAATTGGTACTGCTGCTCGGCGGCCGCTGAATTGAACCTGACGGACGGACAGGAGTTGGTGTGATTTCTGGGATGGATATTGGACTTTGTGAAATGTGTGTAGGCAATTTAGCGGGTCCGGAGACACGTGGTCGCAAGTGAAGTGCATTCATCGATCGCGAGGAAAAATCAGTCTGTTGATGCGGTGACGAGGGGTACACAGGAGGAGATGTAGGATGAGGACAGCATTCATTAAAGGAGAGGTTCTTGGAATAGGCTGACACGCGGTGCCACTCCGTAGGATGTGGCGCACCAAAATAAGCAGTGCGCTGTTGAACTAAAGGATGGGCTGACGGGAGTGTTGTACGAAGAGCACGCGGCATGATCTATAACAGTGAAAGGAGAGTTAAGGCATGAAGAACGCGTATTGTAACCGATGAATTCCAAAGTCAGAAAGTGTTGCACGTTGGAAATAGAATAGGTGAGATAATTCGACTCATGAAAATGCTTTTACAAAACGCTAAAATGAAGGAAAACTGTTTGGAAGTAATTATGCTTCACCAAACCTACCTTGATTCGATGAAGGGAACGTGATCCCATAGCCTGACCCTCCAGGGTCAACAAAGCAAGCAGCGGTTGTAACAGGATGAGAGGAACGGTACCCATCGAGTCGGACCACTCTAGGCAGGCCTCCCAAGCAAACGCGCAAACACACTGACCCAGATTCGTAAGACATCGGAGCGCTTCGAGAGTAGCACAAACCACAGCCAAATCGGGCAAGCAAAGTAGCTGTGCGAGACGAGGCCAAATAACTGGATGTAGTCTGGCCAGGAGACTGGGTTCATTCGCTTTTTCAGGTACGGTAGCCAAATTGGAAAGAAAATGCAACCCTGAAATTAAAGCAGTACAGGACCAATAAAGTTATTTACTGCAAATTGGAGAGACAGTCAACAAGATGCGGTTTCGTGAGGAAAACTGTCATTTACCTCCGAGTAAGCTCGTTCGATCGGGGCTGTCCAGCACGCAATGATTGATGAAACTGAGAGTCAGATGGCCAAGACGGCATCCGAAGTCGACCAAAGGAGTCCACTCGGTTGGACATGCGACACTCATGGAATACGATGAAGGTGGGTCCAACAGGTAACGTAAACTGGAGAGCAATTGTAGCCCCAGTTGTCTCAAACTAGAGTGATGCGCATAACCGCAAAGAAAGGCGAATCGTAAAGCGGTTGGGCTGCTTGCAAGAAACTGCGAATTTTCTCTGCAAGCAGGTAGTGGAGAGAGATCCAGAGAGGAACTGCGATGAGCTGCCATTTCACAATCGTAGTCATCGAAGTCATCTTCAGAATACTTGTTCGACTGAAGAGGAGATGGGGTCACCAAATTTACCAGGAGAGTGGCAACTAAGAAAACTCGAGATGCTTCAGCCTCTTCAGTTACAGTGGAGCGATACCTATGAGAAGTTGACATCGGCGGAGCAAATAGTTCCGTCCAATTAGCAGATGAATAAGTGGATGGTTCATCATCCGGATCTGAACCAGAGTAGAGAAGAATAGAAAAGGCAAGGATTTGAAAAATATGGGAACGAGGGAATTTCAAATTGGAGGTATAAAGAAGGGGGTACAGAGAATTGACACGCTAGCATACGAAAGGAGATAGACAAATCAATGCAAGAAATGGGACAACTGGAACACAGTAAACTAGGAAAGATCAAGAAAGGTGGGAGTAAGAAGGAATTTCACAGTTGATGGGATTTCAGAGTAAGACTAAGAAGTGAACAAAAACAACTCGCGGTGGTATATGTAAGACAGGAACAATGTGCCTCAGAAGATACGCGAGTTCAAATAAATGCTGTCGCATCAGTCTAAACACTTAACAGACAGGAAAGTATAAGGCACATTAGGTTACGCAAGGAACACTAGAATGGTAGTGGGTGCAAGTTGTATCTATACCATTTAGAGTTACCTAGCACTGAAAATGGTAGACCATAAATCATGTTATGACTCAACAGTGGGCAATAAGGTAGTGGTGTCCTAACTGAACTAGTTGGAGTAATGCCAAGGAACAATGTCAGCGTGTGTAAAAACACCTTGAAAACGTCACAAATTTTGCTAGTGACTCACCAGGATTGATGAAAACATCAGGTCGCAGAAATAAACGACCCCTAGGTTCATGGACCATATTATGCCAGAACTGTGAAGGAAGAAAACAGAAGAAGAGTGATACGAGGATGAATAAAGCCAAGAGATGATATAAGTGTCGAAGGTTCACAGTGCATCATCATTATAAGCCGAATGGTCTAGAATTGAGATCGCGCGCGTAAATCCATGTGCAAAACAGCAAAGCCTAATCAGCGTACTCCGTACCAGTGGCCTGGTGCAAAGTTAGGAAGTTAATGTTAAACCCCAAATGGTGAGGGTTAGTGTATTTCAGTCGGTGATTGTACCAGATACGAGTGATAGTAAGCAGTCTCTGCTAGTCCAACACGATGACGATGGATGTCTCGCAGTGCCGAGAGTAAACGCTTAGTTAGTTATCCTTTATGTCCCCAAAGTGAAGTGGTCATGAGTCAGATAGATGGAGAAAACCGGCTGCACCGAAAATGTACACCGTTTGCTTTACCATGGCAATAGAGTAATAACGCTTTGAAAGAATCACGGGCCTCATGTGCAATAATCACTGTTGCCATGTGACTAGAAGCGGTGATGTTGATACTTAAAAAGTTATCAATCCGAGTAGTTAGTCAGCAACCGCAAGAATTAATGGTCTGCCGGTCAGATATTGTGGTTGTAAATTTCATTTGAAAGCGCTAAGTATATGCAGAGAATGACCCGGTTTTAGTGCGCGCGCCGCCGTCTGGAAAGCCAGAACATGCAACAAGAAATAACACACACTACTATTGATTCCAAAGTAATCAATCACGGTCACAAAAGTTCGACATGGTAAGGACGGGTCCGCAGACTGTGGTCGATAAGTGCACTGCTTTTATGTGAACTACCGAGACGGTCGTTAAAAGCCAATGAGAGAAAAGAACTAGAGAAGTATGCTCTAGGTCGAGAAAAACGTTGTGCCTGTGACAGGGTCGGTCAAAAGTACTGCAGCGGGATCGAAGTACCGGAAATTAGTTGAGAAAGGAAAACGGAAATGCAGTATTATGCAACTTAACTAGAATTGAACGAGAAAGGAAGAATTCCAGTTAAACTTGGTAAGACTACCTGACCATTCCGAAACCTAGCTTCAGGATAGGCTCTTTCAAAGACTAAAAGGTAGAATAAGACGTTGTCTTTGAAGCTGAGCAACTATTTACACTACTTTTACCAGCTGACACTATAGCGTCAGAGTGTTGAACGGGCATAAAAGCCAAAAGTCTTGAAAGCTACGATAAGCCACGAACTGAGTAATGTTACAAGTAAACGTGGTACTACCAACGTAATGGATTAAACACGGGGAAGTGAATAAAGTACTGTGTTTAAGAGAGGAACAGAAAGGTAACAAAGAGTATTACTCTCCGGTCCAGGGAAATTTTGTGGCCCCAGTAACAAACAAGCATGCCTGAATTGGTGTGTCTCGATGAATTCGAGAATAAAATATTCATTCATTTATTTAAGTGTGTCCACTTGGCTACGCGTGTCAAGGAATGGCAACGCATCTTCGACTGTCTAATCATGCTGAGTCGCGTCAGTTAGTAGAGAGGAAAAAAATCATCTGGTCTCAGGCACGCATCGATGTTGACAAAAGGAACGACGGTAGATGAATATCAGCGTTAGGTCTATCAACTTATGGGCTAGTTCGGTTAGAAACAATCTCGCACGCAATAACATTGCAATCCCAGTCGAAACGAAGGCAATGACGTCGGTAGAATATGCTAAACAGAACGGCTGTACAAGTAACACGAGGTAATAGCTGTATTTAACCATAAAACTGTGAAACTTCGACTTCAATAATAACTGGTTTAGATACTAGAACCAGTGGTGCTAGGTTGGTTCAGCTAAGCTGAAAGCCGAATAAGGAGGATGCGACAGCAGTACGTCGTACAGACGCTTCGTCGTCACGCGACCACCACCACCAGTCGCCAGAGAGGGCTAGAGTCATTTTGCAACATCACTCGTCCCTATGCGCAGATTCGTGTCATTGGGGTTACACAAGGTAGACAGGCCTAATGCCAGTTGGCTACCGCATGAAGCGCCACATGATGTGCGAGAATTTTACGAAGTTTGCACTAGGAACATTGTTGATCTAAACACTTTTCTCTCTATAATACGGTTTCTTTCAGGAACATTTTCATATCTCCCTGAACGGATATGGCTGCGTTTGTGATGAGCCAGGCGAAAGGGAGTAAAACGTAAGCATTCCAGTCGATCCGAAATATTTAAGGTATTCATCCAAGTAGTTCACAAGCTACTTAGCACAGCCTAGCTCGGAAAAGCACCAGACGCGTTTCACTCTATTGGGGCTCGTCAGTGGTGTGCATTTCCTCGGTCATTTAATGGGGATCGAACCCATGACTCCTAGAGGCAGATGCTAATTAGCCAGCAGCTTAAGCCGCTGAGCCATGGGGGACGTTGGCTGGGCTACATAATTTGCAAGCTAACTGGGATATAGCACCATCTATCTTCTACTGTCATTGACAGTGGGTAGCCTGCGACGTGATGTCCTCCTCTCGCTAGACGTTATAGCCATAGCATTTGAAACTAGGAGAGGTTATTTATATTATATTACTCTTGAGTAGCAGGATTTTAGTTGTAATTTTTAAGGTATCCCGAAACTGTTGTAGGCTTGTGGATTTTCATAAGCCTCCTAAATGCATACTAATGTGACGGAATGTACACGGACCAACGATAGGATAAAAAAGGAAAGATCTGTATTAGAAAACAATAAGAACACTAAAGATTATCGTGTGATGGGTAAGGAAAGCATCAACAGACATATCGGCGGGATGATAAACATCCGCAGTTGTTGATTTTGAACAGAACCACATAAAAGCAAACATAAGAAAGTAAAATTTTTAGGATTCAACGTAACTACTGTTCTGTGACATTCGTTGGGTGCATTCAAAAATGTGTACTTCTACCAACGTGCTGGTTGGCTGATTCGGCATCACACAATTAATTTTAGTAGCCGGTTTAACGATACTAGAAATCGGGAGTTTGTAAGACAATTAGTTAGCAAGATCGAGTGCCCATGATTGTGACTAAGAGTGAAAGTTGATAGCGTACCAGTTTGCTCTTAACCAGAATCGCACAGACTGAAAAGTCTGGCAAATTTAAAGAGGAACTGAAATATTGGGGATTCGGATACAATAACTTCATCCCGAGAAGGATGGGAAACCATTCCGTTCACAGGAGGATGGAACACTGTAGCAGCCAGTTGGTCCCTCACGACAAAAGTTGCACGTAGGTTGACAGCAAAGCGATTTATTCGGCCCCGAAGTGTAAGCGGAACGGACTGTATACAAATAAGTTAACGGGTAGCCAGCAAGAAACAAGAATGACGTTGCGTATCGAAAGAAGCAACGTTCTTCGCTTTGATGCAGATAAACAAAAAATGAGGGAACTGACTGGAGAATGACCAAACGTGGGTAAACAATCGATGGAGCCGCGGAGACAGACGGTTAGGAAATAAGTCCGTTCGGCAATCGCGTTCGACTGGCCAAATAATTCGTCTCTGTTGAGTACGAATGGCCACTTCCATTACACGAGTGGCGTTTTAAGCTCAGGTACCCAAGCATTCACTGTAGGAGCAAATTTGATTCAACAATACAGTGTGAGGAATTCATCCCAAACAGCCAAAAGCAATGATACCATAGTGGTAGTGCTGCACAGGAAAGATATTTGCAAGTAAAAAAATAAAACGAAGGGAGAGAAGGAGACTTTGTGTGCAAGTGCCTCTGAGAGGGGACGACGTGATGCAAACTAAAGGGCTGCACAGTTTAAAGGATTAAAACAGAGAAAAACTTGGTCGCGAGGTGCACGCTGTATCCACGAGTTAAAGTTTCGGGATTGACCACATCATTCGATATGCTGCAACTGAGAGGTCAACACCTCTGTGTATTCAACTCTTTGATTTCAAACACGTCCTTTCATGTTACAGAAATTCTTCCCGAGTACTTGTCCTCGCTTCGTTCAGTCCGGTGTCCGGAGGGAAACTGGTTAAGTGGAACATCAACGGTGTAGAAGGCTTAGAAATGGACATACTCTCTCCTACATAGCCTGCAGTTCTTAGACAGCGTGTGAGCTAGTGCAACTGACTGCATATGAGCTTTGAACGATATAACGATATATTATAAAATTAACAGGCAATAACTGTGGACCGGTGCCACCATTCCGGTTTAAAGAAATCCCGCGTCCCACAGCCCATGTGCCAAGTCTTGTGAGATGCTGGTACCATACTGGTTCAATATGGAGAGTGGAGATCGGCGCAGACGGAACGATGCCACGAATTGCTGCGCTGCATTCGCTTTTTTAGGATAAAGCACAGCGGTAGAAAAGCTTTTCAGCCAGAACAATCTATTATTCTAAATTTTTAGAGACAACCTTGGAATATTTATGTTGAAAACGATCTACATGGTTCCACATAAATGATTAGTGCTATTTGACTGGCTTGCCGAACTACCTCCTCATGGTGCCAGCTGGGTGGTTCGGGATAATCCCGTTCCAGCGAAAGGTTCGGCGGCAGTGTTCCAGGACGTGGTGTTTTCGTCTGGCAAGCGTTTTCCCTATAAAAAGCCACATATATCCGTTTAACAATACTGCGACGTGGTGGATGTAACCCCCACTAAATAAAGTCACTGCCCCTTGCTTCACCTCGCTGGAGCATTATAAGCATTCAGCTTGACGCTGAATTACTGGGAGTATTGCGCCCCCTTTGACATCCAGCCAAACGAAAGGAGTATGAGCCGAGCAATCCGTCACCGGCTCCCAATGGGCGCGATTCCCTGAATTCGCCAAGTTGCCTTGCAGGTCAGGTCCCTATGACCAAAGGCCCCCTAAGTCAACCCCTTTCCTCGGTTTGGGCAACCGGGAAGCCGTATGCCCACACAACACATGAAATGATGGATTTACAACTCTGCTCACGTCGCTTGCTCTCTGAAATCTCTCTCTCTCTTTGGCCGGGGGCTGGCGGCCGGGTATGCTAAACCACATTCTAGCGCACCGCGAACCACGTTCTTCGTCTCACGTTTATTCAACCCTCCA